ATGAGGGCTGCCGAGGAGGGGCTCTTCACAAAGGTGGGGAAGCTCTGTCTGAGCTGGGAAGAACCAGTGGGCTTGTGCATCCTGCCTGCCCAAAGGGTCTCGGAGGCCCCAGAGTTGGGGGCGGAGAGGCCCTTGGCCTCCATCGGGCCACCTTGCCAGCACCCTGCCCGGCCTCTAATCCCCTCTCAGGGCCGCCCGCACTCTGGCCCACCAGGCATCCCAGGCCAGCAGAGTTGGCGATGTGAAGAACGCAAAGGCAGAAATGTCAGAAGTAATTAAACCAAGCGACGGCTTAAGCCCCTGTAGAAATCGACGCATCGGTTTAATCACCTTCCTAAGCCGGCGCCTCTGCGGAGAGGGCCCTGTTTCTGTGAGTCGCTAACAGGAATGCATATCTCGAGCTGGTTTAGCTCAGGTACTTCCGGGGAGAGGTGCTGTGGGGGGGGGTGCCTAGAAAGGAACAAGGGAAACAGTAAAATGTTACTTGAGATCATCCCTCTCCAGAACGGCCCCCCTCCCTCCGGCCTGTGTCCGCGCTCGGGGCAGAGAGGCCCCCGTGAAGGCAGAGTGCTGAATGAGCTGCGTTAGGCCATTAGAGGAATTCATTTCTCTTTATTAGTCTGTGTCAAATCCTTTTTATTGGTGGCTGGGACGCCCTCTCCTCGGCAGGGAAATGTCACGGCAGTTCACCCCTGTTATTTGCTCTGCACTGACGAGGCTCAAACTCTCCCTGAATTAGTGTGGAGAGATTTATTTCCTCCAAATTTTGAATGGCTTAAGAGAGATTGGGGTGGAGGGGGCAGTCCCTCGAGAGGCTCTGTGGGGCAGGGAAGGAGCGGGAGGGGTTTAGGACAACATGGGGGCTCCTGCGGAAGTTGGGCATCTCGTCCCAGCCACCATCTTTGTCTCTCACTCAGCATCCACTGGGCACCTGCTTCAGTCCTGGGGTGCTGACCTGCCAGGGAGACATCGGGGGTGCTTCAAAGTCCGTTTCCCAGCTGGGTAAGCTGAGGCCCAGGGTAGGCCAGGGCTGCCCACTAACTACAGATCTGTCCCCAGCACCAAGGGACCGTCATATCCCAGGGGCATGACCGCCCACTCCCATGGGCTCTCCAGAGTGGACCCCACCCTGCAGCTGTGACTGACGGCGGCCTCGCACCTGCTTACCGGGCAGTGCTGAGGGTGCTTAGGGAACAGGGACCCTGAGGCAGGCCAGGTCAGGCTGGCTGGGCAGCTGACTGTCCCTGTCTGGGCTGAGAGCAGCTTTAGAGAAGCTCCAGGACCCAGCTGAGTCGCAGGGGGAGAGACGAGCTGCCCCTGGGGTCCATGCGTCCCTGTGCTTGGAGGGTAGGTGGTCGGCACCGCCTGGGTGTGCGACCGGAGCAGAGTGTGGGGTGCAGGGAGCCCCCACTCGGTGGGTCCGCTCAAACGCCATCTGTGCCCGCAGAGGCCAGCATTTGCCTGGGGAGAGGCATGAGAAGAGAGGGGCTGGCTGCGCTGTGGGGAGGGCCATGGGGGGCTAAGCCACACCCATGCTCTGTTGGCCCAGCCAGTGGGAGAGGCCAAGAGAACAGCCCCAGACCTGCCCCTAGTGCCACCTGCTCTGGGGGGCTGACACCGGACGTGAAGGAGGCCACAGAAGATGCGCTTGGTGGTCTGTGGTGAGGCAAGTCCCTGGGTGTGTCCCTGCCCGCCTGGCTGGTCAGAGCCACGTGGCAGCCCCTCACCTCCCTGCCTGTGTGCTCCCCCTGACCAGACCGCTCCAGGCTCATTCCTGTCTCCATACTTGGCTTTCGCTCCTTCTCATTCAAGGCCTGACTTAAACGTCACCTCCTCAGGGAGGCCCTCCCTGGCCACCCTCAGAAAAGCTGCTCCTCCTGAGGAGCAAGGACTGAAGTAGGGAAGGCTCTGTCCTGTGCCCATCGAGTCTTGGAGCTGGCCGTGGGCATAGCCACGGCAGAGCACAGGCTGCTCACACAGCCGTGCAGTCCTGCACACACACACTTGTGCACACACAGCCCACATGTGCACGTGTGCATCACAGACGGGACGCCACATGTGCATACCCAGGCCGCACATACAGCCCAAGTGTGCATGTGTGCATCATAGGACACTTTATGTGCACACACCTCACAAGCATGACATGTGCACACGGACCGCACACCCTCCCACCCTTGCACTCATCGGTAGCTCGCAGCCAGCCCTGATGCACGCACACGCACACGCCCTCACACATGCACACGCTGTCTCCTCCCCCCAGCCGGCGAGAGGGTGTGCAGTGGCCACGGCCGTGGCAGGCTGGGCGGGCGCACACCGCACACACACCTGGCGGGCGCCGCGGGTTATTAGTTCCCGGTAATTTAGTGTCCTGCACGGAGCCGTCCGCGCCTCTCATTCCTAATTGATCTAGTGGCTGTTTAAATGGCAGTCGGCATCTGCCGAGATCAGGCAGCTTCATAAGGTGCAATAACTCATAACGCCGTGTGGAATTGGCCTTCCGCATCCCTCTGCTGCACCTCTGCCGGCTCTGCCCGAGTCACAGGCCGGGGCTGCCTTTGGTATCCCGCTCAGGCCCGGAGAGCTGCTTTGGCCGAGATTGGGTTAGATTAGACCGTAATGTGCGTGGCATTAGGTGCTGCAAATGAAGCTTGCACTGGAGTTAAGCCCTCCCCAGGCTGTGGTGTGGCCTGGCGAGCTTGTCCACAGCTTCCCCATGGTGGACAGCGCTGGCGCCTTGGACTGAGGCGGACCCTAAGTACTGGGCCTTCTGCAGCCTCAGGCCAGCAGCGTGTGGTCGTCCCGAACCAGGGCCAGGGAGCGAGATGCTGGCGGGCTGCTGCACTGGCAGCTCGTGGAAGCAGGAACGTCCCGGTCGTGCCCTAGTTCCCAGAGCCTGAGTAGAACCCGTGAGTCCTGAGGGAGCTGTGGAGGGAGTACTTCCTGCTCCTCGCCCGTTGTTGGAAACCTGGAGGGCGCAGGCTCCTCACAGCGGCTCCCCGCCCCACCC